ATTGGTTTTCAATGTTTTGATTTTCTTGGAAAAGAAGTATCGAAATTTATACAGTAAATTATTTATTCAATAATCTTATAGAAGAACAAAATAACAAGTTCTATTTTAGTAATGCTGATGCTGGAGCAATTTTTGTATTTGGAAAAACGTTTGAGGATCATTTTTTCGTATTTAAAGTATATCTCTTCTATAGAAGATTGAATATTATATAGAAATGATTTTGTTTTTTCAATAAGGTAACTTCAATCATTATTTTTCTTGGAGCTGTAATAAATGTACTTTATTATTTGGGTGTTATGCAATATGTTATTGGAAAAATTGCATGGTTTATGCAAAAAACTCTAAATACAACTGCAGCTGAAGTAGATATTGAATATTTTTTAATAAAAACCATTTTCGACTTATTTAGTCTATGAATGCAGCTGCAAATATATTTGTTGGAATGAGTGAAGCACCATTAATGATTATGCCATTAGTACCTAAAATGACAACATCAGAACTTCATTCTGTATTAGTTGGTGGTTTTGCAACAATGGCAGGTTTTCAAATGAAATTCTTTTATTTTCTTTTCCACACAAAATTTCTCTTAGGTTCTGTTCTTGCAACATTCATATTCTTTGGTGTTCCAGCAAATCATCTAATTGCTGCGAGTGTTATGGCTGCACCTGGAGCACTTGGTTTTTCAAAACTTTTATTACCTGAAACACATCAATCAAAAACAACTTGGGAAGCAATGAAAAATACTCCATTACCGTATGTTTTAGATTACACAAAAACAAAACTTAATACATTGAGATCGTTCTTAGTTAAAAGTTTTTCAAAATGATTGACCTGATAGGTAGATTATTTGAGTGGAGATCATAGAAAATTCAGTAGGACCTTTATAACAGACGTCTCCATTTATTGTTTAGAGAACAATATAATGTTATTGATGCATTATTAACTGGTGCAGGTCGTACATTAAAAATTTGTGGTTATTTAATTGCTAATTTAATAGCATTTATAAGTGTTCTTCATTTTGCTGATACTACTATCTCATGGATTTTTAATCTTATTCGTCATCCGGAAATAAATTTTCAGTTTTTACTTGGATTGATTTTCTATCCATTCTCAATTATAATTGGTATTCCACTTCAAGATTGTCTATTAGCATCAAAACTTATTGGAATTAAAGTTAGCTTAAATGAAGTAAGGATTGAAAAATATTTTATTATGTTAATTTTTTATTTTTAATCAATAGTTTATTGCCTATCAAGAACTTGGTAAAATTCGTCAATTACGTAATGAACTTATATTAAATCATACATTTCCATTATATTTAAATGGAACATTAATATTACCTGATGATATTCCAATGTTATGGAATGTAAATATTTGAATGATGAAATCAACTTTTTTTTTATTTGTATTCATTATAGGATAGTTCAATAGTTATTTTAACTTATGCTTTATGTGGTAAATATATTTGAATTTTGTTCTTATAATTAAAAGTGTTAATAGGTTTTGCTAATTTTGGCTCGATGGGTATTGCATTAGCAACACTAGGAGTTTTTGCTCCTACAAGAAAACGAGCTATAACTAAAATTGCACCACGTGCTTTAATTGCTGGTAATATGGTTTCATTAATGACTGCATCAATTGCTGGTATATAATAAAAAAAATATATATTCTTATAAACTTTTATTCTTCTTTTAGGTTTATTGTATGATGCTCGGCATGCAACAGTACCTATATTAAATTTAAATTCTACAGTTGTATAAAATGATTTTTCTTCTAATATTTTTTTTTGAATAATTAGAATTAGTTTCTTTTTTTTTGCTACATAAATTGATTGATTTATAATAAAAATTTGATCTTTATTTTCTATGCAAACTTGTGTAACAATTGCCACTGAATTTGATATATGATAATTCATGTCTAGATGTAATCAAAAGAAGCAAATAGTTCGTTGAATTTAAATAAAAGCTGTATATACATTCAATTGTTATTAATTGCCTCTACTCTATCTCAACTGTACATTATGTGTCATAATACTGGATCTTCTCAGAGATTGAGTCACTCTTAATAATGTGACGTCGATATACAATAAGCAATAGAGAGTAACGATGACGTCATCACACTTACTCTGCGTGATTTTGTGGTATGTTAATTACTATATCATGCATTTTTGTCTTGGGGTTTTCTTATTTTTTGCAAAATAAACATGAAACGTGGCAATATTTAGATGAATAATATAAATGTTTTTCTTTTGCTTACGTATATTACGATGAATCATTCAGCAATAGTAATTACTCAACTTCGATGCATGACATTCTTACCAACGACAAGGTCTTTATAAGTAGAACAGAAAAGAAAAGAAAAGAGAAAAACATTTGCATAATATTTCTTTTACTACATAAATAGCAGAGAATTTGAATAATATAAAAAAAAGAATATGGTTTTATTACGTAAAATAAAAAGTGGACGTCGATCCATTGTTTGGAGATTTAATGGTGAAGCTCAATATATTGATGGACCACGATTAGTAGTAGTTTGGCCATGTGTGAATCGAATACAACCCTTACGATTAAATCAAGCGAATGATATGCAATATTTAGAGATAAGATATGATGATGGACGAACAGAAATTCAACATGGACCAGCAGCATTATTTGATGATCCATTAAAAATTACTTCGATTTTAACAAAAGATCTGATTAAATTAGATGCAAATGAATTATTAATTTTATATTCACAAAAAGACAATTTATCAAACAACACTGGAGAAAAACAAGGTAAGACAAACAAAAAAATCATCTATTTTATTTTATACAATAATCGATAATTCTAGATTTATCAAAACGTCAAATTATTCATGGTCCAACTCTTTATGCACCAAAACCAACTGAATGGATTCATGAATTTTGCTGGCATGGTGAAGATGGTACACATAAAACACATATTATACCAGGTGCAAAAATATTTCAAAAACTTCGTCTTATTCCTGATCAATTCTATTATAATATAACTGATGTTCGAACAGCTGATGATGCTTTAATAACTGTTAAATTAATGATATTTTTTGAATTAGTCAATGTTGAGACAATGTTAAATAATACACGTGATCCTATTGCAGATTTTGTAAGTCAATTTCGAAGTTTTTATTTTAAATATATATATTCAAATTTTATTTATAGATTAATGCTATATGTGCTGATGTTATTGCATTTGCATCTATAAGAAAATATGAAACATTTCTTGAAAATGCCAATCAATTAAATCAATTAGAAGCCTATTCACAATTAGTAACACGTTCCGAAGCTGTTGGATATAGAATCAATAAAGTTGTTTTTCGAGGTTATCAAGCATCTGAAAAACTTCAAGTATATATTTTTGATAATAATAATTAATTTGTTGGACTATTGTTTTTTCATTTAGTTAATGAATGATAATGCGATTGAAAAAAGAACTAAATTAAGATTAGAAGATGAAGCTGAACGTCAATTACAATTATTAGAAGATTTAAAATTAGAAAAACGTTTTGATCGTTCAGAAAAAGGTAAGAAAAACAAAGTTTTTTTCAGTATCTCTATTTATTTTTTTCAATAATAAAGAACGAAAAATGGAATTAGAACAAATGTTACATAAACTTGATATGATTAAACAACAACATGCTAGTCGTTTACAAGGAAAAGATGCTGAAAATCAATTAGAACGTCAACATCAACAATTATTACATGAAGATGAAGTTAAATTTTATAAGAATCTAAAAGAACTTGGTACAGATATTACACAAGTTATGGTAGCACAACAGAGAAATCCCGATAAATTAATTCAAATTGTAAATGACAATGAAAAAAAAACAAATTCACCAAATATTCAATTTACAAATACTCTTTAAATAGACTATGATAGTTCGAAAATACAGTAAACATTTTTATGAATTTTTAACTTTATATTATGTATAGCAAGAATGAAAACTTTTCTTGTCATTCAATAGAGATGAAGAATATACTAGTCGAAGATCTTGCCTGAAAAATCAGATCTGAATATTTTTGTAGACATAATTTTCTCTGGTGAAGCAAGAAATGACTCGTTAGATATGATTCTTTTTTTTTATCTGATGGATTTATTTAAAAAACAATAAATAATAAATATATTTTGTTTTTATATTAAAAACTCAAACCAATTACTGACATTTGTTGTTCGAATTGATGATTGATTTTTTTTGTCAAATCATTATTTGATACAGTGATATGTTTATCTATATTCTAAAATATTTTGACTTAACTATTATTAACATGCAACTCAAACATGGTTTGAAAAGAAATAGTTCTTCAAAACTATTATAAAAATACAGTTTATGAAAGTGGGATTTCGTTAGTATCCAAAGTATTCACTAATAACGAAATAAGGATTATTCGTTTCGACTAGGTTTATTTGACTGAACTTTGAAAATATTCTGCCTCAAAATTTTAGTCAAATGATGTCGGACAATTACTAAATATATTTATTTTTTTTGCTATTGAGATAAAAGAGTCAGTTAGCCATTAAAGCAAAGTTTCATAATATAGACAATTTCGATGGGATCCTCATGTTACGATTGGACATTATTTTTTTTTCTTTGAATATAATATTAAGAATTCTTACGCATATTAAGTGACATATGTATGTCAAGTTTTTATTTTATCCAGTTTATACTCTTAGCGAGATAAAAATTAACAAGAATGAAGTAAGAGATAGTAGGAAAAGCCCGTATTATTATATATCAAGAAATATGCACCACAAAAATAGAGCGAGAAAAACATAAAGTAAAAATTATTTACATCAAATAAGAAAAGTATAAGACGCTTGGTGGTACTTATTAGGAGCAAATTGGGAGTGGTGTCCATGCTCCCGTTGCTAGACATGTAATGTTAAGTGGTCCAGATGATGAATTGTAATGCAAACCATCGTTACATTGAACTTTAATCCAATTATCAATAGGAATATCATCACTGCCAAAATAAAACGACTTGGATATTACTTTTACATTCATCAATGTTGATACCAATTGTTTGAATGCACAAGTAGGACTTACTAAAACATAAACATTAAAGCTAACATTGAAAACTTATTTTGATATCAATAACATACCTGCACAAACAGGAAGTGGATCCCAAATACCATTGATACAAGATACTGATAACTGACCAGATGTATTTAAATGTGTATATCCAGCCATACATACATACTCGACTTTACTTGAGTATATACTATTATTTTGTCGAGAATAAGTAGTCGACGATATATTACCATTCGCAATCGATGGAACTTTTGCACAGTCTGCTGATGATTCTTTAGTTGTTGTACTACTTTGATTTGATGCTAAAAAAATATAAAATCAGAAGAAGATCGAATTTTACATTAAATTTTGCTTCAGAAATTACCAGTACAAGTTGGTTGCGCAGACCAACTGCCATTTATACAAGTTATTCGAGAGTTACCAATAAGAGTGTACGAAGACATACATATATAATTAATATACGCTCCAGACTCAGCTTGACTATCAGTGGGTGACATAATTCCATTGTAAAAGTCGGCATAACCATTTGTAAGATTCAACATACTAGATTCGTAGTTACAAGGCTTTGAACCACTCCAAGCGTCGGCTCTTGACTGTGTATTTAATACACAATTAGGAAATTGACTCCATGAACCATCCATTAGACATGTTACATTTAAACTACCACCAATATTGATATAACCAGCAATACAAGTGAGTACGAAATATGAGTTAGTAAGAAGTGTATTAGTATCTTGTGAAACAGCTACCAAATTAAATTGATCAGTAGTTTTTAAAGTATTTGCCGTTCTAATAAAATTGTTAAATGCCATATATGAGCATCGACCAGGTACTTTAAAAGAAAACGATCTGTACAAGAAGTTTCATTTATTCTACACCATTAACTTACCTACGCACCGTGGTTTAGTCGACCAAACACCATTAATACAAGTATATGATGAACCAATTGTAGAATCAAGTATGTATCCAGATAAACATGTGAATTGAATTGATCCTATAATGCTTAGTTAAATAATTGAAGAGGGTACAACTAGAATATTTACCGGTAGCAGTAGTAGATGAGGCATAGACAAGAGAAGAACTTATAGAATATCCATTGACAATACTGGTTGTTGTTCCATCTACAGGACAAGGTGAACCATTACTTGTTGATTTCGTTGTTGTCGTTGTGGCAGGACCTCCTCCAATATTCAATACACAAGTAGGAGCCGAACTCCATGAACCGTTTGGTAGACATGTAACATTTAAACTACCGCCAGTGTTAGTATACCCACTTGTACAAACAAATACAATGTATGAATCAGTGAGAACTGCATCTGGGTCTTGTTGAGCTGTCGTTATATGATACTGACTAGTAGCCTGTAGATTACTTGCAGTTGCGAGTAATCTTGTTAATATTGCGTATGAACATCGACTAGTTGCTAAATACAATTAGTAGATTAACTTTGACACATTTCTATGTATAATATTCTATTTACTTAGACATCTTGGTTTTGCTGACCAAATTCCATTATTACAAGTATATGATGCACCAATAGTTGGATCAAGCGCATAACCAGATGAACAAGTGAATTGAATTGATCCTAGAATATTTATTTAATTGGTTGAACATGTTATAAGTAGAATAATTACCGGTAGCAGCAGTAGCTGATGCATACGAAAGAGAAGAACTTATGGAATATCCATTTACGATACTGGTTGTTGTTCCATCTACAAAACAAGGTGAACCATTACTTGTTGATTTCGTTGTTGTAGTAGTCGCAGTAGTAGTTGTTGTTATGACAGGACTACCTCCATTAGTATTTACACATAATGGAAATGAAGTCCATAAACCATTTGGTAGACATGTTACATTAAAATTACCACCAGCGTTAGTATAACCACTTGCACAAACAAAAACGATGTATGAGTCAGCGAGTATTGCGTCAGAATCTTGTTGAGCTGTCACTAGATGATATTGACTAGTACCCTGTAGATTATTTGCAGTTGAGAGAAATGTTTTCAATGCTGAGTATGAACATCGCCCAGTCACTAGGTAAAATTAATTTGTGTTTATAAATGAAAGGAAAAATTATTGTAAAGTATCTATCGTATCAGACACTATCAAACTGCAGTTCAAAATCAAGTTTTTATTGTTTCACTTATTAGTGGTGACTTATCAGCAACAAACGTTTCAGAATAGGATAATATGTAGTTCGTGAGACAAAAGAAACACAGAATGATTGTGTCATACAAGACTATTATGTAGTTTGCCATTGAAGTCTATATATTTTTTAATTCATTATATACTTCTAGATTTTATTATTCTATCATGGAGAAAATGTAAAATACAACAAAAATCTTATAGTATTTAGTACATTAACCAAATCACTCTACCTAAACATGAATTCATATTTCTGAAAACATTCTCATATATTTAGTACTTATATACCGATAGTCGCCATATGCTCTCTGTATTATTTTCTCAAATACTCTGATGCAATTCAATAATTATCGCACCCGAAACGAAAATCTCAAGTAAAGCTGTTTCTTCTGTAATAAAGGAAAAATGTCTCCATCATTCATTATACACATCTTTACACGATAAAATGCAACTTACCTAAACATTGTGGTTTTCTTGACCAAATCCCATTATTACAAGTATATGATGCACCAATAGTTGGATCAAGTGCATAGCCAGCAGAACAGGTGAATTGAATCGAACCTGGAGTATTTACTTTAATGGTTGAAAATGGTATAAGTAGAATAACTACCTGTAACTGCATTAGTTGATGTATAGGCAAGAGATGAACTTGCTGGATATCCATTTACAATACTGGTTGTTCCTCCATCAACAGGACAAGATAAACCATTACTTGTTGATCTCGTTGTTGTAGTAGTCGCAGTAGTTGTTGTTGTGACGGGACCACCTCCATTATTCATTATACACAGTGGAAACGAAGTCCATGAGCCATTTGGCAGACATGTTACATTCAAGTTACCACCAGTGTTAGCATACCCACTTGGACAAACAAATAACATGTATGAGTCAACAAGTACTGCGTCTGGATCTTGTTCAGCCATCATAATACGATATTGACTAGTAGGTTGTGTATTACTTGGAGTTGAGAGGAAACTTTTTAATACTGCGTATGAACATCTGCTAGTAGCTAAATAAAAGTTGTAGGTGAACTTTGATATCTTTCTATGTGGAATATCCTATTTACTTAGACATCGTGGTTTTGTTGACCAAATCCCATTATTACAAGTATATGATGCACCAATAGTTGGATCGAGTGCATAACCAGATGAACAAGTGAATTGAATCGAACCTGGAATATTTACTTCAATGGTTGAAAACGGTGTAAGCAGAATAGTTACCTGTAACTGCATTAGTTGATGAATAGATAAGAGAAGAACTTGTTGGATATCCATTTACGATACTGGTTGTACCCGTCTCTACAGGACAAGGTGAACCACTACTTGTTGATTTCGTTGTTGTTGTTGTCGTTGTGACGGGACCACCTCCATTATTTATTATACACAGTGGAAACGAAGTCCATAAACCATTTGATAGGCATGTGACATTTAAATTACCGCCAGTGTTAGTGTATCCACTCGGACAAACAAATACCATGTATGAGTCAACAAGTACTGCATCGGCGTCTTGTTGAGCCATCATAATACGATATTGGCTAGTAGGTTGTGTGTTACCTGGAGTTGAGAGGAAGGTTTTCAGCACTGTGTATGAACATCGACTAGTCGCTAAATACAATTAGTAAGTTAACTTAGATTATACTCCTATGCATAATATTCTATTTAATTACTTAGACATCTTGGTTTTGTTGACCAAATCCCATTATTACAAGTATATGACGCACCAATAGTTGGGTCAAGTGCATAGCCACCAGAACAGGTGAATTGAATCGAACCTGGAGTATTTACTTTAATGGTTGAAAACGGTGTAAGTAGAATAATTACCTGTAACAGCATTAGTCGACGTGTAGGCAAGAGAAGAACTTGCTGGGTATCCATTTGCAATACTAGTTGTACCTCCATCAACAGGACAAGATAAACCATTACTTGCTGATTTTGTTGTAGTTGTTGTCGTTGTGACGGGACTACCTCCATTATTATTAACACATAATGGAAACGAAGTCCATAAACCATTTGATAGACATGTTACATTCAAGTTACCACCGGTATTGGTATACCCACTTGGACAAACAAATACCATGTATGAGTCAATGAGTACTG